AACTCGCAAAGACAAAGTTCCCACGTGTAGCCTCTAGCAGGCTGTAGGGGCAAGTGCTGTTAGCAGCGAGTAGCAGCAGCACCTACACACAGACAAAGCTCCCCCGTGTAGCCTCTAGCAGGCTGTAGGGGCAAGTGCTGTTAGTAGCGAGTAGCAGCACCTACACACAGACAAAGCTCCCCCGTGTAGCATCTAGCAGGCTGTAGGGGCAAGTGCTGTTAGCGAGTAGCAGCACCTACACACAGGCAAAGCTCCCCGGTGTAGCCTCTAGCAGGCTGTAGGGGCAAGTGCTGCCAGTAGCGAGTAGCAGCACCTACACACAGGCAAAGCTCCCCCGTGTAGCCTCTAGCAGACTGGAGGGGCAAGTGCTGTTAGTAGCGAGTAGCAGCGCCTACACACAGACAAAGCTCCCCCTGGTAGCCTCTAGCAGGCTGTAGGGGCAAGTGCTGTTAGTAGCGAGTAGCAGCACCTACACACAGACAAAGCTCCCCCGGGTAGCCTCTAGCAGGCTGTAGGGGCAAGTGCTGTTAGTAGCGAGTAGCAGCACCTACACACAGACAAAGCTCCCCCTGGTAGCCTCTAGCAGGCTGTAGGGGCAAGTGCTGTTAGTAGTAGCGAGTAGCAGCGCCTACACACAGACAAAGCTCCCCCGTGTAGCCTCTAGCAAGACTGTAGGGGCAAAGTGCTGTTAGCGAGCCCCTATGAAGATGGGTGACCAGCACCGCGCCCGCCGGACCGCCTTTGTCTCCCCCCCTCCCCCCCCCACCCAAGTGACAATGTTGAGGCTGAGTCGACTTAGGGGAGGTCCAGGACCGGTTCGGATAATCGATATCGCTGTTGTTGTTGTTGCTGGTAGGGGTTGTGGTGGTTGTGGTGGTTGTGGTTGTGAGCGGGAAATCGAATCCGGGTCTCTTTAGCCACGCTACGTACGCCTTCTGACGTCATCTGGTCGAGCACCAATTGGGTCGAGGCTCAAAAAAAAGCCGTCCCTTGGTGTGGACCAATCAGTTTCAAGGACAATGCATCATCAATTATTATCATAGTGTGTTGTGTTTTTGTGTTTGCATTTTGACTGCAGGTATTGTGGTTAATGCGGTGACATGAATCCTTCTAAATAAAAAAAAAGGTTTCAGTTTTGGTGCCAGAAAAAAGGGGAAAACCCCTATTATTATTACATTTTGGTACTGGCAAAGGAGGTCTTATGATGAAGAATCTAAGTCTCGGGCGAAGCGAGTTTTAGTATTTCAGTTTCTTTATTTTTGGTGTAGCCCTGTGAGCCATTCGGCTCTTGAATCGGGTGCAACCACAACAAACACAAAAAAAAACACGAGCAAGAAAAACATCTTGCGGATGTGTATTCTTTAACTTAGCTATTTCAATGAGCCATTTCAATGCTAAATTCTATGCTAATTCCTTTGTCAAGGGGTACCTCTGCGGATGTGTATACTTTAACTTAGCTATTTCAATGAGCCATTTCAATGCTAAATTCTATGCTAATTCCATTGTCAAGGGGTACCTCTGCGGATGTGTATACTTTAACTTAGCTATTTCAATGAGGCATTTCAATGCTAAATTCTATGCTAATTCCTTTGTCAAGGGGTACCTCTGCGGATGTGTATACTTTAACTTAGCTATTTCAATGAGCCATTTCAATGCTAAATTCTATGCTAATTCCTTTGTCAAGGGGTACCTCTGCGGATGTGTATACTTTAACTTAGCTATTTCAATGAGCCATTTCAATGCTAAATTCTATGCTAATTCCTTTGTCAAGGGGTACCTCTGCGGATGTGTATACTTTAACTTAGCTATTTCAATGAGCCATTTCAATGCTAAATTCTATGCGAATTCCTTTGTCAAGGGGTACCTCTGCGGATGTGTATACTTTAACTTAGCTATTTCAATGAGCCATTTCAATGCTAAATTCTATGCTAATTCCTTTGTCAAGGGGTACCTCTGCGGATGTGTATACTTTAACTTAGCTATTTCAATGAGCCATTTCAATGCTAAATTCTATGCGAATTCCTTTGTCAAGGGGTACCTCTGCGGATGTGCATACTTTAACTTAGCTATTTCAATGAGCCATTTCAATGCTAAATTCTATGCTAATTCCTTTGTCAAGGGGTACCTCTGCGGATGTGTATACTTTAACTTAGCTATTTCAATGAGCCATTTCAATGCTAAATTCTATGCTAATTCCTTTGTCAAGGGGTACCTCTGCGGATGTGTATACTTTAACTTAGCTATTTCAATGAGCCATTTCAATGCTACATTCTATGCTAATTCCTTTGTCAAGGGGTACCTCTGCGGATGTGTATACTTTAACTTAGCTATTTCAATGAGCCATTTCAATGCTAAATTCTATGCTAATTCCTTTGTCAAGGGGTACCTCTGCGGATGTGTATACTTTAACTTAGCTATTTCAATGAGGCATTTCAATGCTAAATTCTATGCTAATTCCTTTGTCAAGGGGTACCTCTTGCGGATGTGTATACTTTAACTTAGCTATTTCAATGAGCCATTTCAATGCTAAATTCTATGCTAATTCCTTTGTCAAGGCGTACCTCTGCGGATGTGTATACTTTAACTTAGCTATTTCAATGAGCGATTTCAATGCTAAATTCTATGCTAATTCCTTCGTCAAGGGGTACCTCTGCGGATGTGTATACTTTAACTTAGCTATTTCAATGAGCCATTTCAATGCTAAATTCTATGCTAATTCCTTTGTCAAGGCGTACCTCTGCGGATGTGTATACTTTAACTTAGCTATTTCAATGAGCGATTTCAATGCTAAATTCTATGCTAATTCCTTCGTCAAGGGGTACCTCTGCGGATGTGTATACTTTAACTTAGCTATTTCAATGAGCCATTTCAATGCTAAATTCTATGCTAATTCCTTTGTCAAGGGGTACCTCTGCGGATGTGTATACTTTAACTTAGCTATTTCAATGAGCCATTTCAATGCTAAATTATTTGCTAATTCCTTTGTCAAGGCGTTTTGTTTCTTCTCACACAGCTTAAAGGTCGTGATCTGAGCGTGGCTTTTTTCACTCCAGCGCTGTCCTTCCAGACAGTCTCGTCCCTTCACCTGATGAAGGCCGCTTGTGTTGTGGCCGAAACGTCGTGAGAATTTTGTTATTTTATTTTTTACCTACTTCGTGACTTTACCCAATAGAACCAAAGAGTAAGAAAAACATCTTGAAGTGACTACGTGTTGACTGTGCATATATGAACATTAGAATTGGGGTCTTCCCCCCTTTAACATCTGGCAACTCAAGCAGCCGTGTTCAGACGTTAAAAACCAACCAAACTGGAGCCTTTGATTTAAAGCTTTCGCGCCTGCACGGATTTATATTCTTGGTTCTTTCGGGTAAAGTCACCACCATGTACGCAGAAGAAGGGAAACAATAAGATAATAAAAAAAATATGAAACAATAAAATTCTCACGACGTTTCGACTGCGACACCAAGCAGCAATCATCATCAGGTGTGAAAACCAACAGCAAGAACAATTTGAAAAAAGTGGTGGGTTTTTTTGTTAACGTAAAAAATTTGAAAAAAGTGTCGGTTTTACTTTTATTACGTTAAAAATGTGAAAAAGGGGCGGTTTTTTACGTTAAAATTTTGAAAAAAGTGGCGTTTTTTTACGTTAAAAATTTAAAAAAGTGGCGGTTTTTTTACGTTAAAAATGTTGGAAAAAGTGGCGGTTATTTTAACGTAAAATTTTTGAAAAAAGTGGCGGTATTTTTAACGTAAAATTTTTTAAAAAAATTGGCGGTTTTTTACTTTAAAATGTGAAAAAAGTGGCGGTTTTTAACGTAAATTTTTTTTTTTAAGTGGCGGGGTTTTTTTACATTAAAAATTTGAAAAAAGTGCCGTTTTTTTAACGTGAAAAATTTAAAAAGTGGCGGTTTTTTTACGTGAAAAATTTTGAAAAAAATTGGCGGTTTTTTACTTTAAAATGTGAAAAAAGTGGCGGTTTTTAACGTTAAATGTTTTTTTTAAGTGGCGGGGTTTTTTTTACGTTAAAAATTTGAAAAAAGTGGCATTTTTTTACGTGAAAAATTTAAAAAGTGGCGGGTTTTTTACGTGAAAAATTTGAAAAAAGTGGCGTTTTTTTACGTTAAATTTTTTTTAAAGTGGCGGTTTTTTTACGTAAAAATTTTGAAAAAAGTGGCGTTTTTTACGTTAAAAATTAAAAAAAGTGGCGGTTTTTTTACGTCAAAATTTTTGAAAAAAGTGGCGGTTATTTTAACGTAAATTTTTTGAAAAAAGTGGCGGTATTTTTTACGTAACAATTTTGAAAAAAATTGACGGTTTTTTTACGTAAAAAAACACCATTTTTTTCAAATTGTTCTTGCTGTGGTTTTCACACCCTGATGATAATTGCTGCTTGGTGTTGCAATTTTATTGCTTTATAGATTTTTTATTATTTTATTGTTTCTCTTCTACGTGGTGGTGACTTTACCGAAAGAACCAAGGTCATAAACTGAAGCCTCTTGCAAGGAATCGCGTCTGGCCTTCTGACCACAAACACACACACACAAAAACACACACACACAATCTGTCAATGAATCTTCCGGTAAAGTCATCATCGTCATCGTCATCATCATCATCACGTCGGTCGGACGATAAAATAAATCGCGACGTTGGTTTTCCCACCCTGATGACGGACGCTGGTGTTGCGCCCGAAACGTCGTGATTTATTTTATTTTGATACCTCTCGTGAATTGTACCGACAAGCACCAAATTAGAACGGACTCGGAGAGAGCACGTGATGATGATGATGATGCGTTGCCCTTGAAAGTGATTGGTCCACACGAGCACGTGATGATGATGACGCGTTGCCTTTGAAACTGATTGGTCCACACGAGAGGCGAGTCTCAGAGAGGTGCACTGATTGGTCCACGCCAGCTCGCTCTGGTGTGGACCAATCGGATTCCCGTGATTCACCCCCCGCCCCCTCCCCCCCTCCCCTAGGGGACCCTGCCCCTTAGCCCCCCCCCCCCCGTCCACTGAGAGGCAGAAATAGAATCGACACCGACTCGCAAGCTGGAGGTGATGATGGTGATGGTGATGATGGTGATGATGGTGATGATGGTGATGGTGGTGGTGATGATGGTGATGATGGTGATGGTGATGATGGTGATGGTGGTGGTGATGGTGGTGGTGATGATGGTGATGATGGTGATGATGGTGATGGTGGTGGTGATGGTGATGGTGGTGATGATGGTGATGATGGTGATGGTGGTGGTGATGATGGTGATGATGGTGATGATGGTGATGGTGGTGGTGATGGTGGTGGTGGTGATGGTGGTGGTGATGGTGGTGGTGGTGATGGTGGTGATGGTGGTGGTGATGGTGGTGGTGATGGTGGTGGTGATGGTGGTGATGGTGGTGGTGGTGATGGTGGTGATGGTGGTGGTGATGGTGGTGATGGTGGTGGTGATGGTGGTGGTGGTGGTGATGATGGTGATGATGGTGATGGTGGTGGTGATGGTGATGGTGATGATGGTGGTGGTGGTGATGGTGGTGATGGTGGTGGTGATGGTGGTGATGGTGGTGGTGGTGATGGTGGTAGTGATGGTGGTGGTGGTGATGATGATGGTGGTGGTGATGGTGGTGATGGTGATGATGGTGGTGATGGTGGTGATGATGGTGGTGGTGGTGATGATGGTGGTGGTGATGGTGGTGGTGGTGATGGTGGTGGTGGTGATGGTGGTGGTGGTGATGATGATGATGGTGGTGGTGATGGTGGTGATGTCTGTGTGTAAGTGCTGCTACTAACAGCACTTGCCCCTACAGCCTGCTAGAGGCTACCTGGGGGATCTTTGTCTTTGTCTCAGGTCTCCGCAATGATTCTCACCAAGCGGGCCTCGTTCGATTTGTCGTCTGACACGGAGATGACGCGGCGATCCAAGGTACCAAAATCATCATCATCAGCAGCAGCATCATCAGCAGCATCAGCAGCATCATCAGCAGCATCATCATCAGCATCATCATCAGCAGCAGCATCAGCAGCGGCGTCATCAGCAGCAGCATCATCATCATCAGCAGCAGCGTCATCATCATCAGCAGCAGCAGCAGCATCAGCAGCAGCATCATCATCATCAGCAGCAGCATCAGCAGCATCATCAGCAGCATCATTATCAGCATCATCATCATCAGCAGCATCAGCAGCGGCGTCATCAGCAGCAGCATCATCATCAGCAGCAGCGTCATCATCAGCATCATCAGCAGCAGCATCAGCAGCATCATCAGCAGCAGCATCATCAGCAGCATCATCAGCAGCAGCATCATCAGCATCATCATCAACAGCAGCAGCATCAGCAGCAGCATCAGCATCATCATCAGCAGCATCATCATCAGCAGCAGCATCATTATCAGCAGCATCATTATCAGCAGCAGCATCAGCATCATCATCAGCAGCAGCAACATCATCAGCATCATTATCAGCATCACCAGCATCATCGTCATCAACATCTTCATCATCATCACCATCAGCATCATCAGCACCAGCAACATCAGCATCATCATCACCATCATCATCACCATCATCACCATCAGCATAATCATCAGCATCATCATCAGCATCATCATCAGCATCATCATCAGCATCATCATCATCATCACCATCATCATCATCACCATCATCACCATCAGCATCATCATCAGCATCATCATCAGCATCATCATCACCATCATCACCATCACCATCATCACCATCACCACCATCATCAACACCATCACCACCATCATCATCACCATCATCACCATCATCACCACCATCATCAACACCATCATCATCATCACCATCATCATCACCATCATCACCATCACCACCATCATCACCACCATCATCACCACCATCATCATCATCACCACCATCACCACCATCATCACCATCACCACCATCATCACCACCATCATCACCACCATCATCATCATCACCACCACCATCACCACCATCATCATCATCACCACCATCACCACCATCATCACCACCATCATCACCATCACCACCATTATCACCACCATCATCATCATCACCACCATCATCACCACCATCATCATCATCACCATCATCATCACCATCATCACCATTATCACCACCATCATCATCATCATCACCACCATCATCACCACCATCATCATCATCACCATCATCATCACCATCATCACCATCACCACCATCATCACCAACATCACCACCATTATCATCACCATCATCACCATCATCATCAGCATCATCATCACCACCACCATCATCACCATCATCACCATCACCACCATCATCACCACCATCATCACCATCATCATCACCATCATCATCACCACCATCACCACCATCATCACCACCATCATCACCATCATCACCATCAACACCACCATCACCACCACCATCATCATCACCATCATCACCACCATCACCATCATCATCACCATCACCACCATCATCACCACCATCATCACCATCATCACCATCAGCATCATCATCACCACCACCATCATCACCATCACCACCATCATCACCACCATCATCATCATCACCATCATCATCACCATCATCACCATCACCACCATCATCACCACCATCACCACCATTATCATCACCATCATCACCACCATCATCATCACCATCATCATCATCACCATCACCATCATCACCATCACCACCATCATCACCACCATCATCACCACCATCATCATCATCATCACCACCATCACCATCATCATCACCATCATCATCATCACCACCATCACCACCATCATCACCATCATCACCATCATCACCATCAGCAGCATCATCATCACCACCACCATCATCACCATCATCACCATCATCACCACCATCATCACCACCATCATCATCATCATCACCACCATCATCATCATCATCACCACCATCATCATCATCACCACCATCACCATCATCATCACCATCATCATCACCACCATCATCATCACCATCACCACCATCACCACCATCACCATCATCATCACCATCATCATCATCACCACCATCACCACCATCATCATCACCACCATCATCATCATCACCACCATCACCATCATCATCACCACCATCACCACCATCATCACCACCATCATCACCATCATCACCATCAGCATCATCATCACCACCACCATCATCACCATCATCACCATCACCACCATCATCACCATCATCATCATCACCACCATCATCATCATCACCACCATCATCATCACCATCATCATCACCACCATCATCACCATCATCACCATAAACATCATCATCATCACCACCATCATCACCACCATCATCACCATCATCACCATCAGCATCATCATCACTACCACCATCATCACCATCATCACCATCACCACCATCATCACCACCATCATCATCACCACCATCACCACCATCATCACCACCATCATCACCATCATCACCATCAGCATCATCATCACTACCATCATCATCATCACCATCATCATAACCATCATCATCACCATCATCATCATCACCATCATCATCACCATCATCATCACCACCATCACCACCATCATCACCATCATCACCATCATCATCACCATCATCACCATCATCATCACCATCACCACCATCATCACCACCATCATCACCATCATCACCATCATCATCAGCATCATCATCATCACCATCATCACCATCATCATCACCACCATCATCATCACCATCATCATCATCACCACCATCACCATCATCACCACCATCACCACCATCATCACCACCATCATCATCATCACCATCATCATCACCATCATCATCACCATCATCATCACCACCATCATCATCACCATCATCATCATCACCACCATCACCATCATCCCACCATCACCACCATCATCACCACCATCATCATCACCATCATCATCATCACCATCATCATCACCATCACCACCATCACCACCATCATCACCACCATCACCACCATCATCACCACCACCATCATCATCATCAGCATCACCACCATCACCACCATCATCACCACCATCACCATCATCACCACCATCATCACCATCATCATCATCAGCATCACCACCATCACCACCATCATCACCATCATCATCATCACCATCATCATCACCATCATCACCACCATCATCACCATCATCATCATCAGCATCACCATCATCACCACCATCATCACCATCATCATCATCAGCATCACCACCATCACCACCATCATCACCATCATCACCATCATCATCACCATCATCATCACCATCATCACCATCATCAGCAGCCGTGAGCTGGAATCCAAGTCGCTAGGGGGTCGCCACGGGGCACTTTGAAGCTCTCTGCAGCGTAGCGCGCTAACCGCAGCACCACCGCTCCTCTCCCCTGTAGCAGGCTGTAGGGGCAAGTGCTGTTAGTAGTAGCAGCACCTACACACAGACAAAGCTCCCCCAGGTAGCCTCTAGCAGGGCTGTAGGGGCAAGTGCTGTTAGTAGCGAGTAGCAGCACCTACACACAGACAAAGATCCCCCTGGTAGCCTCTAGCAAGGCTGTAGGGGCAAGTGCTGTTAGTAGTAGCAGCACCTACACACACAGAAAAAGCTCCCCCAGGTAGCCTCTAGCAAGGCTGTAGGGGCAAGTGCTGTTAGTAGTAGCAGCACCTACACACAGACAAAGCTCCCCCAGGTAGCCTCTAGCAGGCTGTAGGGGCAAGTGCTGTTAGTAGCAGCACCTACACACAGACACAGCTCCCCCAGGTAGCCTCTAGCAGGCTGTAGGGGAAATGCTGTTAGTAGTAGCGAGTAGCAGCACCTACACACAGACAAAGCTCCCCCGTGTAGCCTCTAGCAGGCTGTAGGGGCAAGTGCTGTTAGTAGCGAGTAGCAGCACCTACACACAGACAAAGATTCCCCAGGTAGCCTCTAGCAGGCTGTAGGGGCAAGTGATGTTAGTAGTAGTGAGTAGCAGCACTTACACACAGACAAAGCTCCCCCTGGTAGCCTCTAGCAGGCTGTAGGGGCAAGTGCTGTTAGTAGCGAGTAGCAGCAGCACCTACACACAGACAAAGCTCCCCCAGGTAGCCTCTAGCAGGCTGTAGGGGCAAGTGCTGTTAGTAGCGAGAAGCAGCACCTACACAGACAAAGCTCCCCCTGGTAGCCTCTAGCAGGCTGTAGGGGCAAGTGCTGTTAGCTAGCGAGTAGCAGCACCTACACACAGACAAAGCTCCCCCAGGTAGCCTCTAGCAGGCTGTAGGGGCAAGTGCTGTTAGTAGCAGCACCTACACACAGACAAAGCTCCCCCAGGTAGCCTCTAGCAGGGCTGTAGGGGCAAGTGCTGTTAGTAGCGAGTAGCAGCACCTACACACAGACAAAGTTCCCCCTGGTAGCCTCTAGCAGGCTGTAGGGGCAAGTGCTGTTAGTAGCGAGTAGCAGCACCTACACACAAAGTTCCCCTGGTAGCCTCTAGCAAGGCTATAGGGGCAAGTGCTGTTAGTTGCAAGTAGCAGCACCTACACACAGACAAAGCTTCCCCAGGTAGCCTCTAGCAGGCTGTAGGGGCAAGTGCTGTTAGTAGCGAGTAGCAGCACCTACACACAGACAAAGCTCCCCCAGGTAGCCTCTAGCAGGCTGTAGGGGCAAGTGCTGTTAGTAGCAGCACCTACACACAGACAAAGCTCCCCCTGGTAGCCTCTAGCAGGCTGTAGGGGCAAGTGCTGTTAGTAGTAGCGAGTAGCAACACCTACACACAAACAAAGATCCCCCGTGTAGCCTCTAGCAGGCAGGAGGGGCAAGTGCTGTTAGTAGCGAGTAGCAGCAGCACCTACACACAAGCAAAGCTCCCCCAGGTAGCCTCTAGCAGGGTGCAGGGGCAAGTGCTGTTAGTAGTAGCACCTACACACAGACAAAGCTCCCCCAGGTAGCCTCTAGCAGGCTGTAG